TCGTTTATCCGAATCAATTGGGGACTGGGGTTGTTCGGATAACTTATTTTTCGGATAACCAATTATGTACGAAAAAATATATTAATTTATCCCGTGTTGAAATTTTTCTCCGTTGCGTGTCGCTTCGCGTTGAATTTTCGTCGATGTTAAGCCTAACAAAGACTATTGTATCGTTAAAAATTATTTTTTTATTTTGTACAAACAAAATAAATATATTGAAAAATATAAAAACAATAAAAAATTATACTTCAGAAGTTAATTTAGTATCAAAAACGTAAAATATTTGAGTAGCTCAAAACGTAGCCAAAGATTTCAGCGCCACAGCACTGACGAAAATTTAAATTTGCCGATTGCAATTCTTTCGGATGATTGACGTTTCGGATGATTGACTTTCGGATAAACGACGCTCTACTGTATTTCCTTTTATTCGTCACCAGACGATTAAAAATTAATAAATCTTTTTTACAAAATCTTGAGAAATTGCAATAAGAATCGTTTTCCATCGTTGGAGACAAACTGAAATTCTCTAATATTTTCAAAGGAATTACCGTATACTCTCCAAAAGGAATTTCTATTGTTACACTTGGAAAATTCGCTCTCAATTCGATTCTACTTCGAGATATCTTATTTATTTTTATAGAAATGGAGTAGAATCATCCTCGTCTTATTTTTAATAGCATTAACCAAATATATACGACGACGAGAGCGTCCAGGATGCTTCGTGCGGTGTTATACGTAAAGAATGATACAAAAGAATCTGGATACTTTGCAGAAAATTGAACAAACATCTAAAAATTTCGTAAAGACTTTTTATCCCGTTTCGTCCAGTTTCCTCGCGCCAAATTACGATAATTTTCGAAATATTTAAATAATTAGGTCTAACGACGAGATAATCTTTACCCCGTCGTTACCTGGCACAAACGTAACATTACCTTGTCGTTGCCTCTATTTCTTCTCCCTGTTCCGATCGTTAACGGGCGCGTAAAAAATTACAACGTTACGCGAAAAAACAAGAACGATGCAATTTTTATTTACTTAATTTAGCTGATTTAAAACGTTTCAAGTTCGAATGATCTTATTTGAAAAACAATAGAAAGCGCACACTACTCGTTAAATGATTACGATTCGTAATTTTGTCGAGAACTAATATGACAAATAAAACAACTTTTTAATGTTTATAATTATCTAATATATTTTTATATTATCATTGTAAAATTATTGTAACGAGACATCCGAATCGTTTATTTTATTTTTTAAGTATTTACGAATTACGGCATTATCCGAGTCGTATTTTATGGTTATTTTTTGTGTACAACCAGAAAATTGCAGTTTAGAAGTATTTAAAAACATCCAATTACAAATTGAATCGTTGAGAAAGAAATTAAACATTTACTAGAAATATTTTAAATTTTACTTAGAAAATATTTAAGACGTTTTGAATTCCGCAATTACGACAAAGTATAAAATTGACAAACCGTCGAGCGGAACGACGACAAACTACATTAGCTTTAATTTCATTGCCATTTCTCTGCTTCAAGAATTTAGATCGAACTTTTCCTCTTGAGAATTTCTAATTTAATTTTACGACAAGTTTTTATTTGGACGTAGCCTTAATGCTCGTCGGCAAAAAGCTGGCGATTCGTCGTTTTTTGGCCGTAAGCGGATTAAGTAACATTAGAGGGTGGCTTGCACCGAGGCACAAAAGGAAATGTCGGGATCCTAAAGTAAATTAGCTCATAACTGGGTCAAGATCGAGTAGCAATAACATGGCTTTGTTCGAAAGAAATAGTGAGTCGACAATTGGGTACTTTCCAACTGACCGATACTATAAATTGCTAACGATCGTCCGAACTTCACGAAATTCGGGAGTATCGCATTCGACATGGTAAGTTCTTTCGCACTTTTCTAGCCTATAAACTTTGATAAAACGTAGGTTTTAAATCGTAAATTTTCTTTGGACAGCATTCGGTTCTGGCGTTTCTGATATTTTCTCTGGCACTGAATGCGGCCAAAGCCAGCATGAAAGAACACATTAGGGAGGAGATAACCAAGTCCAAGCATAGGATCTACGTACAGAACAACGGCGGCGGCCCGGCTTGGCAAAGGAACCTCCGCCCGGACCATCACCCGCACGTTCCCAGCAATACGGAAAGTTGGGTGGGAGGAGAATCTCGAAAAAGTCCGGTGAGTCAAATGTACCAGTCGGAAAGTACGAGAGACCAAAGTTGGAACAAGGAGAAGAAATCCAAGTACGAATACGACTCGGACAAAGACAAGGAGCGTTACGGAGGAAGTTACCGCGATTCGCGTAGGGATCGTCCTTGGAACGAACCCAAACACCGAGACAACGACGGCGAAGAATACGAGTACGAAAATAAGTGGCACGGCCAGAACCCTACTAACAGTTACGATAATTACGACAAGGAAGGGAAAAAGTGGAAGAGTTATCACCAGGACAAAGAGGGCGGCGAGGAGTACAAACCCGTGGACAACAGCGGGTACGAGTACGATTACAAAGGCAAAGACGACGGAAAGAACGATTACTACGCCAACGATCATCAGAAATATTACTACGGCCCGAGCGACGACGGTAAGAACGTTTATTACCAGCAAAAGGACGAAAAAGACTCCTACCACCCGAACGACGATCAAAGAAATCGATACAAATATTATCAATACGAAAACAATTATAAGCCCGGAAGTTCGGGGAGTGACGAGACCCACGGACAAAATTCGCCTCCGGTTTCGTCAGACGAGGAAGCGGCCAGAGTACCCGCCAAAGAGAGTCAGGCAGACCACAAAGAAACCTATAATAATGCGGGATATACCAGTCCGGAATACCAAGAAGGTAAAGACAAAGAGGGATCTTCCGTTCGGCCGGCGCCCGAAGTGCAGAAAATATACATTTTGGAAGGTCGAGACGTGGTGGCCAGCGGAAATCATCCCAGCAAAACGCAGGGTCACTACGGATTACCTACCGACATGAAATGGTGGCAGGGTTGGGCCCAGGGGTGGCAGACGGCCGTACGAGCCGGTTAATGGCCGCGCCCGATTTCTTGTAAATATTTTTCTATGTACATATCGCACGTATATCGGCTCGAGACGAACCGTTTAACTCCGCTTACAAATATTCAAATTTCATTACGTAGATTATAATTGAAAAGTATAAATTTACCCCAAGAGGGATTTTCTCCAAGCTGTATATAAAATATTGGAAATAAAAGACGAATTTTAAACGAAACTAAGACTTCTACTTTGCGCGTACACGCGTACTGTACACGCATATTTAGGTAATTGAATAAGAAATGTCGTAGTCGTAGGCGGGATATTTATTATATTCGTAATTTGTTTTGTCATCGAATGCGTAAAAAATACAATCGAAGCCTCTCTTCTACGTTTACGGAGGGGTCGACCAAACGAAATAAAAGCGTCACGGTACGCGACGCGGTAAAATTAATGAACTGTATTATCAAGGTCAATCGACTTCTCCTGGAAGAAAAATGATATAGGACAAAGGAGAATAATGCGCAGTGTTTCCGATCATTTATAGGCCACATAAAATACGTGTCAGACAATAAAAATCACGTGATTGCAGTTTCTTCCGTATAAAGAGCGGCTAAAGGATAATGTCACTTTATAACGGAACCGAAGGAGGATGGTGAGTACTCGAATTCTAACTTCGATTTTATCCGTAAAACGTTACGAAGGCGTCCGCCGGGAACTTAACATAAATTTTATACTTTTTGCCACTCAAACAGTATTTATATATTTATATAGGAATAAGTATAAATTTCTAAATTTAAATCTTATATTAAGATGACATTGGTAAAAAGATAAGTACTTACATTCTCTAACATACGGATATTTTCTTTTAGAATTTTCTCTTGGTGGTGACGTGTCTCTTCGCTCTGTCGGGACGTTTGGAAGGACAGATAGACAACTGTCCACATTCTCATCCACACTCGAACCAACGGTACGACGACGAGAAGGATCTGAGGGCCGAGGCTAGCGTTTTGGATCACAAAAAGAGCCGCGTCAATTCGGAAGAAGAGGACCACGACGGATGGCAAGGAGGGAACATCCACTCGGGAAATTGGTGGGACGGTTGGGTCAAAGGGTGGTACTCCAGCGTCAAGAAACAAGAGCTGAAGAAGAAGGGAATTCCCACGGACGGCATGAAACCCGAGGACTTTTGGAGAGATATCAAGCAGGGTTACGGTCCCGGTCGGAGACCCGGTCCTATGGGCGGTTACGTTAATTACGGGTACGGTTATCGAAAGTATTCGCCTTACAAATCGGCTTCTTACAGAAATTATTATTATAAAAGTCCCCCTTACAGATACGGAGGCTACGGATACAAAAGTTATTACGGCGGTTACGGATACAAACCGTACGGATACGGTCATTACGGAAATAAACCGGGTTATCATCCTTATCCCGTGCCTTACGGTCACATTTACGGATACAGGGGATGAAGCGGTGACATTTTGTATAACGATACCGTTTAATTGTTAATGTTAGAGATTTCATATTGTTATAACATTTACGACCGGCGAAAGGGTCTACGTAAAACAGCAACGTCTTTCGACACCGGTCGTAAATAAATAACCGTATATCGTATTTGGCCACTCGTAATAAAATCGATCGGGTTCACCGCCGACCGAATCGTAAGGAAACGACGTTCGAGTGTCGAAAGATCCAGTTTTATAACAATTCGAACGAGAATTCTACTAATCGACAGGATAAGGGAAATTTTACAACCCGATAAAATCTATTGTTTAATCGGAATACGATTGGAATATTTATCGATTATCTTGTATAAATTAAGACAAATAAACATTTAAATAAAAACAGGCAATTGTAGTTAATAAGACCGAAATAGCGCGTCACGGTAAGAGCGAATATAAACGAGAATGTTGCAAAATGCCTTAGTCCGTTTTCGGAGGAAAAAACGTAAACACTTTAGAATATAAAACGATTATAAGGCTATTATATACGCTTACATTGTTTGGTGAAGTTTTAAATTTTCTATTAATTAATGGAAATTAATTGAGAACCCGCGTATTACAATGAATATAAATTCGAACTTACCTTACGAGAGTTTTGTTTAGGCCGAGTTAACCGGGAGTCGACTGACGTTTTTCACTTTCGGCAAAACGCGTAATTTTCCAAATCATTTTTTGGCACGGGCTATAATCGACGCTTCTTGCAGACGTTGCCCGGGCTAAAGACAAATCAAATTTTGTAATTACTATTTAAATAACGCGAAAATAGAAGCGAGAGAAAGAAGATTGACATTATATCGTAGAGAATAAAACTACCGCGTAACAAAATTATGTCATAAATGTAAAGTAAAATATTAATTTTGTAGTTGCCGTAACATAAACGTAACAAAGAATGCGATAATGTAGGAAAGTTATAAATATAGAAAATTGATAGAGAAATCGGTTTATTGTGGAGGAAGAAAAGATATAACGGCGAGACAATTGAAAAAGTTGGAGACGACGGCCGTAAGCCATTTTAGGCCACGATTATTTCTTATCTTCGATATTTTTTCCAACGTGAAGATTTTAAGGTTAAAACCCAGTTCGCTCATTAATTAAACCTTAATCGTATAACGGGCGATAAACCGGTCGAGTGATTTTTATTTCCGAGCATTAAATGTTTTTCGGGGACAAATGCCGGTTCGCTGCGCAATATAATCTTAGAATTATTTTCATTCATTTACGCATATTTTAAACCCGAACGTAGCCGAGATTTTTAAAAAATAATCCAAAAGCGCTCTGTCCGAAACTTCTTCCGTTGGAATAACACGTTTTTCATTAAATGCCAGCGATTTACGTTAAAAATAACTTTCCGATGCTAAAATTCGCCGCATTCCTTAGACTTAAGCCCGCGCTTTAAGCGTTTTAGTAAAAGTAAAAAAGGCAATTATAACACTTTTATACTTTTTCCTATTTTATTTTAAATTAATTTTTGCTTTTCGTTAACATTAAAGTTATTAAACAGTTTTTTAATTTTTCGCTAAGCCTATTACCTGGAATAACCCGAAACACTATTTCCTTATTATTTTATTTTCCCAGTCTCTTCTTTCGGAACGACCATTCGAATACGCTTTATTGTAATTTCCCACCATTATTTTTTTAAATTAATATTTGGATTATTAAACTTCTTACTTCGTGTAGGCTCCTATACTTTCGTACCGCCATCGAACGATTAACGCGTTGCCTCCACGGTAGAAAAACAACGAGTGACGTGGAAGAATATAAACGGACTTTAACGAAAATCGATCCATCTAAAAAAATCGTAAAAATAATTCAATAAATCGAAAACTTTACCGCAATAATACGACCCTTCCTCTATTATTTCAAATCTGTTTTCTAAATTTGTAATTTGCCGCCTTTTAATAAGTATTTTCTTAAAATTGCCACTGTTTCTTACATAACTTTCGTAGTTTTTCACAATTTTATACCTTCTCTCTCCTTTCCTTTCTCCTTTCGCTGGCGAAAAAATAAAGATAACTCCTGGCGCCCGTCCCTAAATTAATTAATTTTGCAAACTTTAAATGTTGGTTGGTAATAATTCGAGATTTTCCATTGTGGCGATTTCCGAATATCTTTCTAACCGGCGAGGACACCGTTACGGCTCTTTCCGGCCCTTTCTGTACATAAATTACAGTAGTTGTAACGCTCGTGTTCCTAGCAACTGGCAGCCAGCCCTAAAGAATAAACGAAAGGTCGACTATACCCATGGAAATCTTAGAAATCGAGATTTTTCGCCAAAAGTTTGACCTCTTCTCTAGTCAAACTTCCGCGGTTCCTCCATCTTCCGAGTCCACCGGGAAATATTTTACCTAAAATAAATATTAATAGAATTATGTTTTTCGCCTCATTTAACAAATGTTATTTCCTACTTCATTTTATAAAAAGAGCGGAGACCAGTTTATCAATTAATGTATCCTTTTCGTCCGTTCGAATAAATAAGCACGCTTATCGTTTCCTGAAGAAAATTTATTACTATTTTTGTTTTTATCGAACTATAAAAGAAAATATCCTTAAATAGAAAATCTGTGTTGTTGGTAAAAAAATAAATAAATAAATCTTAGAATTTAACCGAAGGAGGAGAGAAATTTGTGGAGAAACGGATTATTATTTAACCGTCTAATAAGTTACTCGGTTGAGTTTTTCCTCATTTTTGCCCTTCGTTAAACTTTACCTAGTGTTACGAGAACAAAAGTTTTGACTAGATTAACACATCTAGTAAAGTAGCGAATCGGGGGTAAGGAGTAAGAAACGTTTTCTTCCACAACATTCCGCGCGCAACTAGAAATTGTACAAGAGATCTGGAAGAAACGTTCGAATTTACACTGTAAACTTCATTTTTGAAGTAACCTATTCCGTAATACAAGAACGAGGGAATTCTCTAGTACTTTGGATACTTTTCCCACGTTTTTCGACTTTATACGTACACAGAAATTTGCTACGAGTCGACGACTGCCGCCAATCGTTTACGTCACTTCGTACCCGTTTTGAACTCCAGCGCCGCTTCAAAAAAGCCAGGCGCGAACTCGTTCTGGCTTACGGTTAATGACAAATGGCACGAAAGTCGCATCGGAAATTAAATATTAAAATTCGCCCGGGAGATTTCCGTATTAAGTTTAATTAATTTGTGCTCGAGAAGTAAGGAGAAGATACGAGAGCGATTTTGTATTTAGAATTTTTTTAAGCCTTTCGAATATTCCTTAACCTCGTTTACAATAGAGTATTGGAACATTAACCGGTTACTTTATTCGTCATTTTTCTTCGTTCCGAAAGCCTTTGAGTGAAAGAATTCTCAATTTTTTAAGGACAGAACAAAAACCTCGTCGCGTATTGTATGCGTGTATATACACGCGTATATATAGGGCAAGTCGGAGAACATTAGCCTATTCATCTACTGTATTAAAATTTGGGTCGTTCAGACATCCATATCGATTCTCTTCGCTTAGGTTATACTAATTCGTAATTTATCCCCGTGACATCTTTGCCGATATTTTTTTTACCTACTTAACTATAAAAAATATTATTTCTAAAGAATGATATATGGAATATTTGCAGTCGTGGACGGAAAATTTAGACATATTTAAGCCGCTAAACAAAAAATTACGTACGAGCTAGGTGAATGCAAAATAATAAAATGGCATTCCGACGGAGTGTCTTCGCTATTTTTGTTGCCCGAAGATCCGTCTACCGCCCGTCGTTCCTTCTCGAAATGCGTCGTTATTTATTAACTTACGCAGAAATAAATATTGCATTTCCGTAGTGTTAGTGGAAACTGTGTAACGTCGTAACTAAAACACTTCTCGTATTAAAGTATAACTGAAATTAGTACAATTTAACAAATTAATGTAATAGCTTAGTACAAGATAATACATAATAAGATATACAATACAGTAATAATCAATTTTTGAAAAATGCAATAAGTTAATTGTATCTTTCCACGACTTAAATCTCGTCAAATCCTTTCTTCCGCTCGCTTCAAACTTCATTCGAAAAAGTACATTTACAAGTTTCATAGACTCGCATACTACAGATACTAATAATTCTGTCAGACTATTATTCCGCGTCAAAATAAGGACAAACGCATTAAAAATATTGTAATCTACCGCATTATACGAGTACAAAAAATCAAAGTAATTTTTACATATTTTTGGGAGAAGGGCCCGTAATAAAATAGCTACGAAGGGTACGTAAGAAGACTACATTTTCTGGCGCTTGCGTCGGACTTTTAGTGTTTCTATTTTATTGGGTGGTTAATTCCTTCAAAATAGGCCGACAGACGTAAGAGAAAAAAAGAAGAGATTATTTTTCTTTTATTCTACTGTATATAAAATAAAATTAGGAGAAATCCAAACAGGCGTAGTTTAAAACAATATCTGAACGTAAATACTAACAAAAATAAAAAAGAGATCTGTGTGATTCCTAATTTTGTAAATAAATCTTTCGAACTTTTCAATTATTTTTCTTGCCGTCTTGATATTTTTAACGACGATTTATCTATCGGAGCTAATTTGCATATTAGCCCCATTTAATCGCGCTAATAAAGCATCATTGCGCGAGAAAGACGCTTGCCGGGTCGTTTAATTTCAAACAGTTAAAAAGATTAAAAGTCCAAGTTACGATTTTTCCCGTATTCGAAAAGTTTACTTTCCAGTGGTAAAAAGTAAAGAAAATAAAGGTGTCGGGCGAAAAAGTATTGTATTTCTGCCCCATTAAATCACACCTTAAGGTTTTTCTTGTCGTAAAAAGTAACTTAAAATCGCGTTTTCTCCCGAAAAGGAGAAAACGGCTAAAGATGCGGACTGTGACCGTGTCAAAACACACCATTTTTAAATCGCGAATTTCCTGTTCCATATTTTAACCAGGAATTTATACACGAGTGAACCGATTGCTCATCGAATTTACCTAGAATTAAAAAAAAGGGACGAGGAAAGAAGAGAAAGATTGGTCATATTCGATCTTTTGTATGTCGAGTCACCGACGTTAGAGAAATGACATCTCTGCCAAAGTATTTTTATCTTCCACTGCCTCGTTCGAGATAAAAACGCGGTCCCCCTATTCTTATTCTAAAATATTCTATTATTTTTAGACACGAGTTACTTTCCAGGTTAAATTTAAATATTTTTAATTCAAAACCGTGGCCGGTAATCACCGACGAACGTTCAATGTCGGGAAGAAACGGGGATAGAAACGTGTCCGGTTTCCACCGAAGAAATTAGATCCAGAGCAAAATAAACAGATTAACTCTTTGTTAAAGAAATTGAAGTGTAGCTTTACACCGTATTTTATCTTAGGAAAATCGCATCAACGTCATAAAAATGCCATTTATCAAGATAACGGTTGAACTTTGACGGAAAAATCGATCATTAATCACACCGGTAACCGAGCTAACCAGGAAATTTTCCTCCGCGTAGGAAGATACGTTTTATCATTCATTTATTCTGGAAATAAATCGTTGGTAGAAGAATAAATTGGAAAAATAAATATTCTCTAAAATGTTCGATCATCGACCAATACAAGGCTATTAAGTTACCGATGGCCATCGTAACCTAATTGTTTATTCTGTTATTTATTAAGAATATTTAGAACGGGATGGCATAATAGGATAATTCTATAACACTGGCGGAAGACGAGACCGAGTTTGTCCGACTTATCTGCTGAGCGAAACAAACGAGGAAACCGACCGACGAAGTAACCAACCTGGCGATATAAAAAAAATCTCTCTTAGTCACATGATCTAAGATATAAAGGTAGAGGAGTCGAAGCGTTCCAGACAAAATCGAATGATCCACCACCGAAGACAAGCACCACTCCGAAGATGGTAAGGATTGTTTCTTTATTATTACGTCCCTTTCGCCTTTGCCCAACGTTTGTTTGTTTTCTCCTTCAGACCTTTCTCCGTTACTGTTGGTGTTTTCTGATGTTGACGGCCGCCGCCTCCGCCTACAAGCATTACTCCTTTTCCCAACCCAGTTTCGGATTCGACTCCAAGCAACCCTCGACGGCCAATTTCCACCCTCAAGCGGACCAACCTCACGGATTCGACTTGAAACACTCGGCCTCGGCCGGCGGACAGGGCATGGGCCATTACGGACAGGGAAGTTGGTGGGACGGATTCAGAAGAGGCTGGGAAGACGGAATGAAGTACGTCAAGAACACGGGCAAAACCTTCGCCGGGACGGGATTGGGAGGCGTAACCCCTCACCAGATGTCGCTGGTAAATTTCGGTGGCTCCGGGGGGTTACCTTCCGGTCACTCGCCCTCGTTCCCCGGAAGAATGTAAACCGGCCGAGGCAAAAAGTGTATCTTTAAGTCTGGCAACGCGAATCTCGGGAAACGTCTTTTTATAATACTCGAGTTCACTCGACCTTCACCGGTCACCCACCAAAGACCCCAATCGATTCGATTGCACCCACGTCGCGCAATATTAGCAGTCTTCACCGGTTAAGTGTATATATGCGAATTTACATTTTTTACTATTTTTATACGGAATATGTCGAGTCTATTATGTATGTTACTCATTCCATTTGTACGTTCTTTTCAATAAATATTCGAATGTTTTGAAAATAAGCGCTTCCTTCATTAAACGAATTCCGACCGATCGAATCGTAAGAGAGAAAAAAAGAATGCGGAATCGGATCTCCGGCACAGAGAAAAATAGACAATGGCCAGGACGACGTCGTTGACATTGACGAACCGACCACGTCCGTGACATCGACCGTGAAGTCGAAGCGCGTGGAAATCTCTACGTTCGTGCGCTTTTCCAAGCGATAAACTTAAAATTATATACAAAGGTAACGCTAGCGAGTAACTTACTATTTTAAAATTCAATTTTGTTATTAAAATAAAATATTTTCTATTCTATAATGAAGAATTATTTGTTCTATTCGTCTCGTCTCTGGCGTTTCTGCAGAAAAACCCGCAGCGGAATAAACACCCGATATTGTCTTCGTCCGGTTCAAACGAAGAAAAAAATAAAAAATATTTTAAAATCGAATGAAACAAAAAGAAACGTTTTAATTCAGTTCTAAATATTCTTCTAAAAATAGATCTGGCTGTAAAAACTCCCTTCTCCATTTGCATAATCGATCGACTTTTTCGTCTCGACTGCGATCGGACAGAAAAATGTCGTTAGATTATTATTTAAAACTCTTTCTTTTATTCTGATGAAAAAAGATTTAATAAATGTAAATGATTGGCTAGAATAATTTTTTACCCGAGAAAACTTGACGAAAGAATGTTTTCCGATTTAATTCGTCCGAAATATATTCTTACGCAATTACACTAACGACCTTCTCCTATTAAACAAAAAAGTTAGGAAAATTGTTGGAGCGATGATCTAATTACCTCATTTTTTAAAATTACAGTTCAAACATATTGGTGTAGAGTATGAAATTTACTTACATTTTTCTTAGCAATATTTATATTAAAAAGTAAAAACTAAAATCGTATAACCACAATCACCCGGGCAAAAGTTATAATTCGTTAACGCCACTTCGATCTTTTTTAGAGAAGGGTGGAAATGTTTTTATCTTTCGGATCCCAATTAAAGCTATATTCTCGGAAATTTAACGTACGCGCGCTATGCTTTAGTTTACAAAACTTTACGTGTTTCCGAAATTTTAAAAAAATCTTACTAAATCATTCGTGTTTTCGAAGGCAAAAGTTTTTCCAGTATTCGTCCAGGTGACACCGGCGCATTTTACGACGTTACGGTCGATCCATTTCCGATACGTCGTCGCCTCGCCGAAACCGGTGACCTCATCACGCATTTGCCCAAATACAGTCGGCTATGGGCCTACCTATAATTCTATTTAATGCGTCGCTTAAAACAATAGATTTGGCACGGAGATTCTCCGATGAAAAATACTTTTTGTAATAACGCAACAAATTCTTCGCCTTTTCCTCTACGGGAGGTGCACGCACTCTCTACATTACGTGAATCGAGTTTCTCGGCAAGTACAGTACAGTACATTGTACTACAGTTATCATTCATTGAATATTCCTTTCTATTTTTGGTCTCTTACGTCGCGAGTTTACCGGAAAAAATTAAGTACGGGCTTAAATGGCGCGTAAATCGTAGATTCGGTTTAAAAAAGGAAACAAACACTACGTATGCTGTATAACTATGGCATTGTGGACGAATGATCGGTAGACTAACCGATAACGAGTAAAGTACCGAAGTCGATGTCTAACGGATAAGATTAAGATAAAGCCGCCAGATTAATGTTAAGTTCCGAGTGACGATGTAGCGTGTCACTCGTCTGAAAAAATTAGTCAATTATTTGTTGTTATCGTTGTCGTCATCGATGCCGCTATTATTATTGTTATTGTAATTGCTGATAGGATTGTTCACCCGTTTTGCCATCGACGGATTTCCCGTTAGATTCTTCCGGGCGAAAATTACAGCCGACGGACACGCATTGGAAGGGAGGAGGAGAGTGGTCGAACTTCAGTCGACGTCCATTTTATTTCATTAAATTGTATACAGTTTACGCATCTTATATTTATTCCAAAATTTCTTGTACGTTTCGTTTCTACTTACGGTATCTCTCATTCGTAAACTGATAAAGGTGTTAAGGGAGTTCGAGTTTTGTGGGACCGTGAAATGTGGCGTGCCGTGACATTCGATGATAGAAATGCTGTGTTTCTGTAAGAAGCCGACTTACGGAGGCAATCGGTTAATTGCGCGTCAGGGTCCATTCGTATTCGTTTGTTCGATAGACCAGTAAAAACAGTATACTTCTTTAAATGTATTTTTTATAGATTACCCGACGTACTTAATAAATAAACAAGTTCTATATAATTACCTCCGTTATTAGATTCAATAGATTCCCTACGCTCTCTAAATGCCAATTCTCGCTTTGAGGGAAAAAAACATATAACATCTATTAATTTAGATATATTATATCTATTAGTCGTAATTAAGTTATAATTTTCAATATTTATTTTATATTGTTTACTAGTGTTAAATTTTATTCCGCTTCGATTTCCAAATTGCTTCAATTTTACGAGAGAATCGACCCGAGATTTACGATTTTTGTGTGTTTTGCCAGCTTTACTGAAATTATTCAAATCGTCAAAGCCAATCTCATTCCACACGCTAATTTTATTTGAAAATAATAGGCAAGGCCGACAAAACAAGTTTTGCATTTTTATGCATCCGCAAAGCCGTTTTACGTCTTCATAAATTTTATCTCGAAAATGTCCAACAAATTTTTTTGTCGACGTATTTATATTTAATTTAGGCATTGGCCTTTCTCTTTTAATAATGTTTTCTTTTTCATTATATGATCTCGAGCCAAAACTTTTTAAAATAAATTTTCAATATCGCTAGCCACGATATAAGGGCTAAAATTAAAAATAAAATTATTAAAACTTACTCGGTGAAATAAGATGTACGGTGGATATACGTACCCGGTACAAAATATTCTTCAATTGTATGAATATACTTTTAAAGGGTAGTTATTTTTTAGTAAGTGCAGTTTGAGAA